TATATATATAAATTTGCCTTATTAAATGCAAGGATAAATGGGTTTATAAATGTAGTGGTGAATGACTATTGACTACTAATTGATATCTCAATTAATGAAGGATTAGTATGCTACAGATCGCTGGATTACATTTTTTGTTCCAGTGTTTACTAAATATCTGCCTGTAGGGGTGGTAAAAGTTTTGGTTTCACAGTATTATGGATAATTTTTTTATTCTCATTCAAAAGCAAAATAAAAAAAGTTCTTAAAGACAAATGAAGCAATTTGAGGAAAAGTTCTACAGTATTTAAAGCGCACATCTTATATATCTCCGTACACTCACCATGTGATGAAATTATAAATAGATAAATAGAGCCTCAACAAAGTATTTGCATGTACATTTCCACTGCGTCCGGATAAACTGATTTCCTCCTGTTTTGTAATCAACAGGAAGAAGGCTGCAGAAACCTCTAGGAAAGATATGGAGGACTCCTCGATGAAGGATTCCTCAGCTGGGGAAGAGGTGTCACTGGGCTGCTCCACTTTAACCCTGACTCCTCTGGTACCTGAGTCACCGCCTGTCCGCCGCTCCCAGCCCATCTCAATTATCTCAAGCAGGTAGGACCTGCAGGCGCACACACTCTGGTAGCACCAACAACAGGCTGGCTGTGAGTCACAGGGCTTCTGGAGGAGGTTCTGGGTGCTGACTCAACAGGTCAGTCTCTTTCTGTGGAGGTAGTGGAACCTCTACACGGTTAAAAAGTTCTTTACTGGAGAGGAGCCGATGTACATCAATGAAGCTGATGTTGATGTATCAGATTCAGGCATAATATGGGTTTGGTCAAAGAGTTTTAAACCATAATCTTCCACATGTTTACTATCTCCATGCATGATTTAGACAAAACTACAGCCATAGTTCTCTTTCACCCGGATCCTCACCTTTCTGTTGTTTCCTTTGTTTTGCATGGATACTTGCCCTTTTCATCATGTTTTCCTAAATAAGCCTTGGATCTCTGCAGCTCCCCCAGAGTTAATATGGGCGTGTTCCCTGCTGATCTTATTAATCCTCTCCTCTCCCAGCTTTTAAGTGACCAGTGTGTTCAATGGTGCTTCCTTTCCAAAATGTAGCATATAGGTCAACAACTTTGATAACATGCTTGGTAATATAACTTTTTCTACACAGTAAATTCCACAGTGTTGAATGTGCAGTGTCAATGTACATTGACTCTTTTAGAGTTATTACAACAATAACTGGAGTAAATAAAATATGCACTACGTAGAGTTCTAATTTAACACTAATTCCGAGTGGCACCCAATGCAGTCTTAAAGTGTTTCTTTAACACTTCAAAATATACTGTGTATCAATTGTTTTACTATCTCAAAAGAAAGTAAAAAAAAAAAAAGAATATGATTTAAATTGGTTTTAAGTTTGGTTTTATTCTTCATGTCTATTGTTGTTTTATTGATTTAATTTTTTTTTATCTTTTAGGAAGAAAGGAGGTGAATTTTTGTCTCCCTTTGTGTCCCCCATACCAAACCCTTTTCCAGAGCTGTGCAGCCTCCCTCAATCTTCATTGCTTAACAGTTCACTTCCATCAGAATCAAGTGACAAATGTGTGAGTATTTATGCTGAGCAGTAATATCAGTGTTAATCGCCGATTACCCAGTTTGGGAAATACTTGGTAAAGCATCCCTTGGCGTTGTACAGGGATCCGGGTGTTGGTTGGTGGTGTTTTTTTTTTGGCATTATACACTCAACTCGGTCATTGCCCCTTTCCTGCTGTGTGTCCTCATAATCATTCTATTGTCAGTCGGAGTGAAACTAGCTTTAATTTTTATCAATAAACTCCTACTAATAATAACACTACCAAAAATAATATTATTAGCAATTAATAATGTTTGGTGCAATTAGCCTTCATCTTCCTGATGGGGGGCAGTAAGGGATGTAGATAATAGAAATGGGGGAGATGACCTGAAAAAGGTTGAGAGCCGCTGATCTAGGAGACCGTTTAGCTTCATCAGTTATGAAGCTGCATAACTAAATAATTAATTAGCTCACTAGATTTCAGATTTAGTGCAGTTTGCTCTAGTTCTTATTTCTTAATATATAGCATCTAGGCTATTGAAAAAAAATCATTTTTTCTTTTAGGTGATGCTGTTTTCTTGCTTCCATGCAAGCTTATTACTGCAATTTGTTTTTCATGATTGAAATATTCCCTTGCAACTAAATTGATGTATAGTTCTAAAGAGCAGTGTTGTGCCTTTTAAGAATTGAGTCCTTGGGCCACGTGCCAGACAGAGGTAAAGAAAGTATGTTGAAATAATCCCTGCAGGGTTTTTTTTTATGTTGTAAAGGATTATTGTTTTTAGGAAAGATTAAGGATAGCCTCTGTCTTTTTCAGGAGAGGTTTATTGGGGAATAAAAAAAATCCCAAATCTATAAAATATATTTCATCAAAATCCTCATTGCGTTATCTTGTGTTATACTGCATTCTAAATCCAAAATTTTTATTACAGTTATGAAATCATAATAAATGAAATCATAACATTTAGTTGAGACTCCTGGCTTTACATACACCCATATTATGCAATGTGACGCATTAAAGACAGATTCTAATTGGACGATAAAAAAATATCACAATTAATCGATTCTCAACAATTGGTTTAGGAGCTGGGTCTATAGCTATGACTTAGTGGGGATGTATATCTGACAAAAAAAAACAGAAATCACAATGTATGATTTTTTTAAAGCTATTTATTTGTATGATACAGCTGCAAATAAGTATTTGAACACCTGAAAAAAAAAACAAAAAAAACAATGTTGATATTTGGTACAGTAGCCTTGCAAGTCCACAGTTCAAAAGTTTCCTGTAGTCTTCCACCAGTTTTGCACACACTGCAGGAGGGAAGGAGGTTGTTCCCCAGAATCTTTCAATACATAGCCCCGGTCTTCCTCCCTTAATACACTGCAGTGATTCTGTTCCATATGCAGAAAAACACCTGCAAAGCATGACAGTACTCCATTCTTCTTCCTCCAAACACTGTTTGTGGAATTATGAACAGAAAGTTCTATTTTGGTCTAATCTGATCACATGACTTTCTCCCATGAATCCTCTGGATCATCCAAATGGTCATTGGCAAACTTAAGACAGGCCTTGAAATGTGCTGGTTTAAGCGGGGGAACCTTCCGTGCCGTGCGTGATTTCAAACCATGACGTCTTATGGAGGAGGTGGTTCTAGACATAACCTTCCACCCACCTACAAAGCACTTTTAGGAACTTTACTCAGAAGATTCACCTTCCAGCCGCCCTCACCTAACTCACACTTCAATGAGGCATGTGAACAAAACCACCTTGACAAGGGAGTTAACGACCCATCAGAACCCCCTAATGACCATTAACACCTCCTATGTGACCTGCTTGGCCAATCCAGTGGCAGGGATCAAACCTTCTGTCCCCCCTTATTCTTTGTTAGACCCACTAGTTAGAACTGAAGAAGCCTCTTGGATTAGAGGTGAAACGTCTTTGAGAGAGCTTCACGTCCAGTTGCCTAAACTGAATTTTTTCAGGCATTGCTCCAACAGTGGACCTTTTTTCACAGCGCATCTTGGCCATTTCCCCATAGCACTTTCCAGCCTTGTAGAGGTGCACAATTTAGTCTCTACTGTCTTTGGACAGCTCTTTGGTCTTGGCCATGTTAGTAGTTGGATCCTTATTGATTGTATGGGGTGGACAGGTGTCTTTATGCAGCTAACGACTTCAAACAGGTGCATCTAATTTAGGATAATAAATGGAGTGAGGGTCAGAATTCTATTTAATAGACAGGTGTTCAAGAACTTATTTGCAGCTGAATCATACAAATACATAGTTAGAAAAATCATATATTGTGAGTACAGGATTTTTATTTTTAGATTATGTTTCCCAAAGTGGACATCCACCTACAATGGAAATTCCATGATTTCTAAATGGGAGAACTTGCAAAATAGCAGGGTGTACAAATACTTATTTTCCTCACTGTATGTTAAAGTTCACCAAAAAATAATGTCACCGGTGACATTATGATAAAGAAAAGGCAAGTAAAGATTAGAAAATACATAAAAAATGATTGTAATGAATTGCTTCCTTAAAATAATTAGTTATAGTATTGCCATTAAACATTGTGCAGCCATAATCAGCTTTGAAATCCTTTGAATCACTTCATTGTGGCCCAAGCCTACATAGTCTGATGTGTGACTGCATTAAATAGATCCTCTTTACTTGTCTGAACTTGTCCTAAGTCAAAGTTTTGTGTTGTTTTGATTGAGAGGAAGGGCTGTATTGTAACACCGTGTGTGTCAGATCTGGAAACGCTGCCAGAATCAACATGTCTGTAATTATTTTTGCATGTCAGCTTGCGACTCCTGCCAGGGTTGAAATGCAAACAGGCTGACACGCAACACAGCTTTTGTAATACTGGGATCTCATACTGTAGGGCCTGAGCATTGTTTGTAGGCATTTAATCGTGGTGTTGGTTTCTGGAAAACCCTGCTCTTCATATAACAATGTTTTAGTTAATCCAACCTCATTCAGATTCAAGCTTTAAAAGTTTTATCAAACGAATCCAGTAGATTGTATTAAATCATCCCCTCCGTGCTTTATAGAAGAATCTTAATAAATTAGAATGTAATTGAAAAGTTTTTTTTTTTTTTTCAGTTGTTGACACCTTCCAAAGTAACCCCTCATCTCACTTTTAGAGTGCAATATACATAATATAAATGGAAAGTTGAGTGGAAGGAAAAGTTAATGGTCAAAGAGGATAACAAAAGCTTTAAGAGAACATTGAAGTAGATGTCACTTAAGCATTTGGGAGAAATTCAAGATGTCTGAACTCCACCTTGAATCAGAGCTTCCAATCTAGAGCCACCGCACACAGACGTATCCAGAGATACAAATATTGCATCCTAGCAGGGGGGAATGAGCTGCCAGAATGGGTCCTTAAGAAAGACACGCTGATGCCTGCTTTGGGGAGTGGCGGCCTAGTGGTTAGGGAGTTGAGGAATCCTGAGGTTCTGAGTTTGAGACCCACTTCCACAGACTGCCACTCTGGTCCCTGATTAAAGACCCTTAACCCCCACACTGCTCCCTGGGCGACCCCACGAAGGCAGCCCATCACTCCCCAAAGGGGATGGGTTAAATACAGACAGTTAATTTCGTTGCTCTGTAGCTGTGACATTGTAGTGACAATAAGATTCTGGAACAATAAACATCACAAGCATGTCAACCTGGGCTGTGGAGGAGAAAGACTAAACCGTATGTAGGGATTTAAAGTCCAACATACATATTAAAAAGTTTCCATTTCACTGGAAATCAAGTTCCCAGATTCCAGAGGAGGAGTGGAGAGGTAGAAAATCCACTTTTACTTAGAATGAGTCCATTATAAAGTTTCCTTTGTGTAATGACTTGCAGAGCTAGATTATCTCCTGAGTTGACCCCCAAAGTCTGTCCAACCTTTTATCTGGAAAGTTTATTGTCAGTTTGCTATTATTATGCATTGGATCACTGTCTAACTGATCAACTGACTTAAACCCCATACATACTCCAAGGCAGGGATGTCAAACTCCCATACTGGAGGGCCAGAATGCTACGACTCTTAGACATCTCCCTGGTCCATCAAACCCAAATCAAATGGCTTAATTAGCCCCTCAGACGAAGTACAGTTCTCCAGAGTCTCCTTAGGACCTAATTATTGATGGGTTAAAGCAGAGACATCTAAAAGGTGCACCTTGGCCCTCAAGGTGTGGATTCTGATATCCCTGCTCTAATGAGTATCATGAAGTGGAAGGTGAGAGGGACCAGAAGCAACTATACAGATGAACACCTTTAGACTCCATGGTGCTCTGCATTGATGGATAAAAAGCATAGGAAAGTTTTCTTTATTGGTTTTCAGTGGTATTGAATAATAATTGAGATAAGCTGTAAATCTGACATATTTCAAACACTTGAAATAGTCACTGTTGGAGGAAATAATCCATGTAACTCTTTTGTGATATTTTGTTTATTCATGTTGCATCTGGAGAATAATTTAAATATTTATATATATATATATATAGGAAAGCTGTGTTTTACAGCATGAGTTTTTACCCCTTGGTGATTTTCTTCTTCATTTAAACATTTGTGTGCAATATTCCCTCTTCATTATTCTTTGTTCATAAAAGCCATCAATAAAATGCAAACACTCAAAATTTGGATATTTTGTATGTTACTGAAATTAGAGGCCGTATGACTTGTGCATATTTACAGGCATTCTTTACTTTTAAAGTAAAAGTTTCTTAAATTTTGCTTTTCTCAATGTTAATTTAGTTTCCAACATCATTTTTCAGTTTCCCTAATCGTTTTGTTGAACTGTAGGGAATCAAAGGCTGTTTTTAAGATATTTCAACAGACAGAAGTGACCAAAAGGAGATAGAAGAAATCATCTTGAATCAGATCAGGGCTCTAAACTTCATCTGTCAAAGTGAGATTCTGTTCAGACATCTGCCAACCGAGCCCTTAGGGGCCTTTTTATAATGCAGCACACACACACAGTTCTCAGAGTGCATTTCTTGTTTTTGCCCTACAGCAGTTTCCATAATTGTAACTTGATTG